GTTCCTCGGATGAGATGCCACCCCACTTGAGAGACAGTAAATAATAAAATGACACAATGATGCTAGTTAGCTTACGTACTTAATAAGATGTTTAGCCATATGAACTTGAAAACAGATGCAAGATACCTCATCAGAGGGGAAGTCATTTCCGTCGACCCGTGGAGCATTAAGGCTATCATGGTTCCTGGGACTTAATCGAGGGCTAACATCAACTTCTTCATCATCTCTGCCAGTGTCAGCAGATCCAATAGATGCATGTCTGGCCCTGTGCCTGACCAGTGGTGCCTCTTCTATATCTTCGCCTTCTTCATGTGGGACAGAAGAAATGCCAACATGCAACCTAAATTCTCATTGAGACTCTCAATTAAAAATTGAAACATGTAACCTTAAAGGTAAAGAATCAACATTCAGAACATGCAATCAAGCCCCCTTTCCCTGGTGCTTGGAAGTCCAACACAAAGAACCAACCAACACACAAGACACCATATGCACATACATATTCCAGTTAGGAGGAAGAAGACATCCAAATTTAGGAAGTATAAAGATAGCAGTTTGCAATGTAAAGCAACAATTGAAGGTTATACCTCCCATTTGAAGGGGACGATGATTTTGCATGATCCTCCACATCAGCAGATGGAGTATGACCTGCCACTTCTGATACTCCAACTTCTCCTTCCAGTTCGCGTAATGCCTTCTCTCTCTCTGCTGTCTGGATTAGCTTCATGTCAATGAGAAGAAAAAACTATAGTTACAAAAATTTGTACATCATAAAAGAGCAAACCTTCAATGACAATGACATTGCACGGGCAAGTTCAGGATCCTCCAAGTGAGACTGCTGGTGTTGAGGCATGGAATCCCTTGAAACCTGAAGCAAAACAGAAACCTGTCAACATTGAAACTGAAAACAAGTGAAGGTCAGAGAGACTTGATGACATACATCCTGAACTTGAGATTGATGGTCTGACATTTTGGCATCCCTCTTAGAAGCCTCAATGGCAGCTCTAATCATTTCTTCCTCTATATCATTGCTGTAATCAGGCATGTCATCAATGCCAGGAGCAGTGGGCCTAGAACCAGGAGCATGGGAGAAGCCACCAAATGTATTATCACTTCCCACATTATGCCCAGTTGCTCTCTCAACTGGACCAGTTGGTACATTTTTGTCATCATCCTCATCAAGGATAACATTGCCACGAATTTCAGGGCCATGAGCTTGTGCAGTTTCAGTAACATCCTCTATAATTGGAGCACTATCTGAACGACCAGACTGTCCATTCCCATCCTTAACCTCTATTGGAACCTCCCTCACTTCTCTTGGATGGGAAACAAAAGGATCTCGGTTTGTAAAATCAGTACCACTATCCAGTATACTTCTCCTAAAGTTAGGATCAAGAAGAGAGAAAGGATTCAAGTTTCTGTTGGAAGATAACAGAGAGAAAGGAGGTCTTTGGGGTTCAACTTGGGCTGCATCGTCAATGTCCATGACATCGTCCTCCATTGCAGCAACAGGAGTTTCATGTGTTCTGCAGAAAGAGATAGAACCAAATTCAGGTAGAGATTTTCGTAAAAATACATGTTCACTTCACCTGCTCCTTTTGACTTTTCTTTGATTCCTCTCTCCTTTATTTCATGTCTTTTGCTTGAGTCCATGCATGTTTTGTTTTACTTGTTTTGAGTGAAGGTGAAGGTGAGGGTGAGGACCAGGTGGAAGACTGGAGTAAAAGGGAAGAATGAGAAAATTAACACCAACATGTTCCTATCCCCTTCAGCAAAATGTGCATTGACAGCTTGATTAAGGTCTCCCCCATGCTCCTGAGAGTAACACACAAAACCGTCAAGTTAACGGTAAGAGAAGAGGGGAGGTGGTGATTGCAGAAAAATTCAGGGATTGAAATTGTACACAGACAGATACCACAGGCATCTAGACAACTCAATGTGGGTTGTGCCGTATAACTAGCAGACACACACACAACAGCACAAGAATCCACACAACAAGGATACACAAATAACAGTGGGAGACAAGGATAAGAAGGACAATAACTTTCACGCTAGTAAAGACAGACATCTTTAAACACCGGTTTTATGAACATGCATTAATAGCTTATACCATATCTGTTGTTCTGTTATGGTAGAATTAGAAACGCGTACAAGTGACCATCTACTTACCCACTTTCCGTAATGATGCCCCAAGAGGATGCTCATTACAACTTTGTCCAATTTTGGCATCTCAGAGAGCAAGTGTCTAGAATTACAAGAATACCAACCAATCACAACTCAACTGAAAATAAATGGACCGGCAAGTTCACAGTAAGGACCGATAGACTATATACACATAATAGCCTATTAACTACGGCCTAATTAGCTAACCAATATTGACGGGCCAGACAGTAATGGCCAACATATGAAGTAACAAACAAACATAATCAGACAGCACGTGTATATGACATGACACTACAAGGCAATGGTGACAATTCTACGCACATAAGTATGCTGACTTCAGAGTAACTTCATAGCAGCATAAGACATATATAGATAATCAGACAAGTATGCATATGGCCAGCACATCAATCCCCATGCAAAAGGCACGAAAAGAACAAACAAATCAAACAACAGCAGATAATGACATACTAATTATATACGACAGTTAAAAGATGGACACATGTACATCAAGAATTTGACATGAATTTTAAGTACTTAAATGTCCATCGTCCATCATTCTGGTGTAACTCGCTATAGTCCTACATATACATGCAACATTGCACACACTTTTGAAACACAAAAGATGCGTACACATTTAAATTGTACAATTTGAGAGTTGGACATGAAAGGAGCTAAATTTTTAGTTACATTTTGATACTCTTCTCCAGTATACGGCGCAAGCACGTTAACCTTAAGCCTACACACAACAAATTCATCATCAATCCAACTCGCATCTATTTCTGTTTTTCTCAAGTTCTAGACTTTTATAAACAAGTTCAAAGAACCTCTAAAGAAACAAAACAAAACACCCGCCCCCCCCCGGGGGGGAGGGGAGGGGAGCCCTAAACACACATTAATCATTGACAATGTAATTTCAGCACGGTAATCGAACCCAATCACAGCTACCCAAATAAATTCCCTGAACTTATACTCCACGAAACAGTTCCTTACACGTACCAACTACTCCTCCTTAATCAAACAGCAACTTCATAACTAAAGATTTCTGCTAATACTTTGCTTCCAGTTAGTCATTACTGCAAATCATTCTTTCAGCTATTCCACTTAATCTCCCATTTATCCCCGTTTAATTTCTTAAGGCACCAAAATTAAGTATCTCAACCTTAATTACATCCGACTTAAGTTAAATTTCCAGAAAAATTACAAATTTCAACTGCAATCAAAACACATTAGTTAAATTTACAATTTTTATCAAAAAACTAGCGAGATTAAAACCCTAATCATCTGTTAATTAATGTAAAAAAATGAATTAATATTAAATCAACAAAATTCAACTTAAAAACAACGGGTAGAACGAAAAAAAATAGAAAACAAAAATTAAAACCAGTAAAGCAAAAATCAGATGCAAAAAGAAGTAATTTTTACCTCAAGCCTTTGAATTGCAATGGATTCGGAAACACCGGTGATGCTCATAAACATCTCAATTGCTTCCTGATTAGGTCTCGCCATTTTTTCTGAAATTATTTTGTTATTAGATAGATATAAAAATGAAGGTTCTGCCCAGTAAATTAAAGGGACACAGGGAAAAAAGAGCAGGCAAACCTTTTTTTTTTGTATTTTTTATTTTTGGTGTTGAGTGGATATTTATAAGTGCAGGAGTCCCCTTGGTACGGTGGATGGTAGTTTTGTAAATATGAGAAAAGTCACTACCCCTTGTAAAATATTCCAAGCTTCCACCGTTCCACGCTTCTCCTATTCTTTACGGGACAAGAAAAAGAGATCAATGGATGTCTTGGGGGATAAGTTGCTTCGTCGATGCGAAGGGGGGGAGGGGGCGATATTTTAGAATTGAATGGTGGAATTACAACTTTGAGACCACCATTTATATTTTTGACAAAAAAAAAAAAAAAGAGACCACCATTTATATGATATTCTTTTGACTTATGTACACATGTAATCCATATATGATAGTGTAAAGAAATTACACTGAAACATGATTCTCATTTTGATTGTTATTTTTGTGAAGTTTATATATATATATATATATATATATATATATATATTGTCATAATTTGACATACATAAAATTAAAAAAAAAAAGATCACAAAATGTATTTACAGAAAAAGTTTCCTTAAGAAATAGCAATCACCTTTGATGGACAATAACAACTAGTAAAATTGCTTAGATTTGATGCCTCTAGCCGAAACAAGAAAATGTAAAATCCTTTTATTTGGTTTGGCAACAACTAAAAGCCGATTACTTTCGTTTAGCATTTCACATCTAATTATTATTTTGCAACAGATACTCCCATTATCACTCACTTGTATGGCTGTTCTCAATTGGTGTAAATTTTGCAAGAAAATGATTGAAACCTACTCATAAGTAGATTTTATACTTTACCTTTTCTTTGTCAATTTAATAATCTATATATGAAAACAAACTAGAGCCAAAAAATTAAAATTTAATCTTTATATAAAATTAAGTGTAATAATAATCAAATAACAACATAGGCCTCGTTTGGCAAGTGGGTTTTTTGAGTGTTTATTTAAAACTTTACTGTAACTTACTGTAGAACTTGTAAAATTTTTTTTTGAATATTTTGAAGTATATAATTTAAAAATTTTGAAATTTTTTTTGAAATTACTGTAGTTAAAGTTTTTAAAAAATTTGTAACTGACAAACTTGGCTAAAAACTTGCTTGTTAAACAAGGCCATAATTATTCAACTCACTTTACACGTGTTCGCACAAGATGGTCTGTAAAAACTTGTGTGGACAACGAACTTGGGCTACGAACAGACTGGGACACTGACAATTGGGCCATTCCTTGCCCTTTCAAATGGACATATTCATCCTCTGGGCCGACGAAAGTTTTCCTCTACGAGGTGCAAAATCCGCAAACGGCGCCGTCCTGCTACTTTCATCTTCTGTTGAATCACAGCAGCCGTGAAAAGCCCAAACGGTGGTAAATAGTAAGGCACCGCCGTCGAAAATCAAAGTCCTGCTGCCTATACGACACCGTCACAACTCGAACTAAACTAACGAGCATCGTCAGTTTTCAGCTGAACCAAATGGAGAAGACAGCTGAAGACAAGAAAAGGAAGCCTTCCAAATCGGAGTTCGTGTCCGGGTGCGGGTCTGGATTCGGATTCTGGAAATGGGCCATTGCTTCGGTGATATTCAGATTAATTCTGATTTATTTTCCCGGAAACCTCAACTTAGCTTCTCGGCCCGAAGTTTCCACTCCTCTCACCAGCCTCCGCCGCTGTACACACTTTTTCTCTCACTCTTCAACTCTGTGTTTGTGCGTGTTTCTTCAGTTGATTTCATAATTTTACTTTAAATTTTTTTTTTTACAGTGGCAGAGGGTTATTGGTTGAAGCAGTTATCAATGTCGCCCTATGCTGGTTTGTTTCATCCTTAAAAAATAAATAAATAAAACTTTTAGCATTTTCTGTAGAAATTACTTATCTTTGTTAAAAGTTTTGAGTAATTTTAATTTGCAGGTTCAATGTATCATGGATCTCCACTATTACTTTCCGTTCTCGGACCTCTCACTATGAAAAGGTAATTATTCAGCTTCAATTTTTACTCTCTTTTTTTTTAAAAAAATATAATGTAGCTAGAGTTTAATATTAGACTTAGAACAAAAATAGCAGTGGAATTCTTTTTTTTTTTTTCTAATGCGTGAAAAAAATATTGGTGCAGAATTGAAGGACAGCCGAATTATCTTATATGCAGGTATTATCTCTTCGCTTCTTACCTTGGCGTATGTGTGTGTATACACACACACACACATTCATCTTGCAGGAGCTATTAACTTTATTTTTTTATATATGTAATTTTGCTTTGTTTTTCGGTTCTGTTGTCGTAGCAAACTGGAATTTATGTTTCGCTTAGAAGTGAAAGATGAACTAAGTTAATTGATGCTCAGATTGTGCTCACTTGAAATTGGTTTGTCTAATATTTACCATGCAACTTAATTTCTTTAATTCAGAGGTTTAAAGTAAAAAATGTCGTGAGTTGTTATAATTGTTATTTTCTATGTTCTGGTAACTGCTATTCTTAAGTATAAACAGCAAGATGGCATCCAATGGTTTAAGAGACAACTTGCATATGGTTCTATCCAGCTGCTCATTTGGTTATTTGTTTTCAAATTTGATTTGGTTGTTTATCTGTCAATTTGAAGTTTATTAACATGGTTAATATCGACTCAGTTTCGGCTATAGTTTGGTTTCTGTGGCTGCAGATTTTACCTCTGCTATGCTCATTCGTCGAATTGGCCAGAGGCTCCTAGCTGCATATGGTCAGAATCTAAGGTCACTTGGTCTTGCAGAACTGTTTGAAGGTTCTGATATGGTTAATTAGCCATTTTTTTATGCCTTTTCTGCATTCTTTTATAAACCTTTAGCTGTTCTTGCGGTCTATTTGTTTTTATTTTTCTTTCCTTTGAAACAAAAAAAAACTAATTGTTGCTATGAAAATATCTCCAGGATCTCTACCTTCAGGTGATGTGGCTGCTCTTGTGTATTTATGGAACCCTTTCACAATAGTAACATGCTTGGGTTATAATACAACGCCGATAGAGAATCTTTTTATCATCTTATCCCTCTATGGAGCCTGTACAGGTACGAATTGACTATCTTTTGATGGTTTGCTGAAGATATAATATCAGTGTCTTGTCGATTAATTTCCCTACTAAAACGTGTGAGGCCTGTTGCAATCTCATCAAAATTTCTTAATGCTCGCTCCATCCCATTGTTATTGTCATAGTTCACCTTTTTCCATGTCCCAAAATTTGAGTCACACAACAATTTTTTCTCCAACATTCCATATGTAAATTTAAAAAAAAAAAGTATGATGGACCCCACAAAAGCAACAAATATGCGTCCAAAAGAAAAGATGCATGGAAGGCACCAGAAATTTCGGTGGCCATAGATAGGTGCATGTTTACCCACAGCCTGCAAAATGGCTTTCGTTTTGCATGGAACCCCAGAATCTTTTTACATTAACATAGACAGCAATTAAGCTTTGGTATCGGTCAAAGGGGCAAAGTTGGAAAAAGATATCTCACATCTGTGCATAATAAGTTGGAATCCCCATAAACATCCCTTACATTGGGACAGAGGGAGTAGTTATTTCTTTTGGCAGACTCTATATCTGAGAAGTGAGGCTTTAGTAGCTTTCTAATATCTCAGAAGACCTTGTTGGCTAAAATCAGGGGTCATCGTTAAACATTCATGTCTCATACTTTTGAGTTTTATTTTGAAAATGAGAGGCTGTTTTGTGTTCATTATATGAACTAATGAGTTTCCTTTGGACGTAAGCCCTTAGGTTTTGTGGGCTTTAGTTTCTACTTAAATGGTTCTGTATTGATAATCGTAAAGTTATGTTGGTGCATGTGGTATTAATATCATCCGTGCATGATTTATGAGTTTATGGAATTGATTAGATTGCTTAAGGTGGTGTAAGCAGGAATAGCTCCAGTTGCCGCTTTTGGATGGGTTGTGGCAACACATTTGTCTCTATATCCTGCAATTCTGATCATACCAGTAAGCTTTCGGCGATATTCTCTTGAAATTATAACTGATGTATGTCATTCTGTAATCATGAAGGTTTGTCCATGTTTTCTTTTAGATTATTGTTCTGTTAGTCCGTGGTCTGGATGCACCACCAAGGAAATTGTTTTTACAACAGCTCTCATCGAAAGCTGGTAATGACAGCTCAAGTGATAGGCATGTTGAAGCTTTGAAAGCACAACCAACTCCTTTCTCATTGCGACCTGTCTTGGCCTTCATATTCTGGTCCTTGTTATGGGCATCATATGTACTGATTCTGTGTGGTATAGCATTGAAAAATTCTGGTGGTCTCTGGGAGATGTTCGAGAGGTATAAATTTATAGTGAAAATGCTTGTGCTTTGATATGACTTATCTCCACAATTAAGTATCAATATTTCAGATTCATGCCCTTATTTTAATAGTCTTCCTATATGTTTATGAAAAACGGATGTTTGAGATTGACTTCTACTTTTCTTTTTGCTCTTGACCGAACTAATGTTGTTCTCTAAAAAATTACCTTCAAAGTTCTCATTTTGCACAGACTACATTCAAGCATGTGTTCTATACCAAATTTGAAGAAAAGCAAAAGCAAGTGCTTTATGACTAACCGCTGGGGTTGGCCCAGTAGCTGGGGGGTGGCTCTGAGAGTCTTTCCCGCTACTAGGTTCAGGGTCCGAATCCTGTGCCTGGCAGTTGGGGGTGGGAGAGTTAAAACAAAAAAAAAGTGCTTTATGACTAACATCATGGGACCATTGAAACTCATTACTCTTAACTGCTTGAAGTTCATTCTGCAATTTATGCTTGCTTATCTTGCAGGACCTATGGATTCATTCTCACTGTAAAAGATTTATCTCCAAATATAGGTGTACTATGGTAAGTGCACTGTAACTAGTTGTGAGTTTGTCGCTCCATAAATAAAGGCTTTGGAGTGATGTATTTGTGGAATTTTGATGCAGGTACTTCTTCGCAGAAGTATTCGAGTTTTTCAGAAACTTTTTTCTAATAGTTTGCCATGCAAACATTTTGTTCATGATCTTGCCCTTGGCCATACGGTTATATCACCGGCCATGCTTTCTGGCTTTTGTTTACATGGCAATCTCCTCCATTCTTAAATCCTATCCTTCTGTGAGTTCTCAATCTCTGGAACAAGAGTGGATGCTTGAAGAATACTTGCTTCAGTTTTTTGAATATATTGGCTGGTTTGACAAATATTAGACTGAATCCTATCATCTGCTTTAATTCATTAGGTTGGAGACTCAGCTCTGTACTTGGGTTTACTGGCATTGTTTGCCAATGAATTGGCAGGTAACTGGTATTAACATTGTTTTTACTATCATTGGCATAATTCATCATTGTAACATCTGCCTGCCTTGCAGAAATGCAATTTTCATTCTTCCTCTTTTGTGGATATGTCGGAGTATCCCTACTTAGTCCTGTAATGCACAATCTATGGATATGGAGGGTATGAATTTAATTAAAGTGAATAGTTTTGATTTTGTTTCTTGGGTTATGAGATTTTATCAGAAAAGGTTAAGAAAATGTATGTTAGTTCCTAACACAAGAAAATTGCAGGGTACTGGTAATGCAAATTTTTACTTTGCAACTGCTATGGCGTATGCTTGCTTTCAGGTTATTATTAACTCTTTCTCTCAAATAGAGACTCGGATTCAATTTTTCTGATATGTGCCATCTTATTGAGTGGTTGAAATCTTCCTTATCTAGCTTCTCTTTGCAGTTAAATTTTGATTTTTATGTCTATTTTGAACGTGGTAAAACATATTTTGCATGCAATTTCTGTGCAGCAAACTGTCTTGTCATTCGCAATGAGAAACATAAGTGCCTTTGAAATTGATTGTTTCCATCGCTTACATCTTCGTTGGATTTGCTTGTTTGGGAGGAGTGCGGGTCAGGGTATGGGGTTGGGTGAGCTCAGGGGTGTTTTCGGGGATATGGCCTACCTTATCATGCTCCTGAATCATTTTTGCACGCAAGTTACAGAGGTGAGCTCAAAATTGGTTTGAAAACAGTTGGTTGGAAACCTTTTTGGTATGGCTTATTAATTTCATGTGTTAATAATTGTCATGAAAACAACAGAGGTGAGCTCAAAATTGGTTCAATAAAAATACTTGGATGGAAACCTTTTTGGCAGAGTGTTGTTCTTGTGATATTGCAGCATGTGATTCTTGGTTGTTCAAGGGGTTTGTGTATGGTACTGCAATATAGCTTTTGTTTCGGATTTCAGTCGGTATGTTGATATGCCGCCTCTAACCGTGCAGGTTGTCTTGGTAGTTGAGAGCGTGTCCTCCATGCTCAACCATGATAGAAAGATCAGAAAGCTAAGTACATCAATGAAAGCTTGAGGTGCATGATGATTTCTCCATGGAAACATATGACGTATTTTCTGGTCCATTGGCGCATATCATCGCATCGGGAATGTTTCTAGACATGCCTTCAGCACCATAAACTTTCGTGTCATCTACGATATTTTCCAGTTTTCTGGTCATGGTTCGTAATTCTGGAAGAAATGATCACAAGATGGCCCCTGATATATCACTGATGTTAATGTTACCACGAGTACGATCAGCATGTATAGGTTCATGCTCTGATGCTGAAGCTGCATTGAATTCCTGAAATACGGGTTTTGAAATTGAAATTGATCCTTTTAATTCTACTACTTCTGTGTGTTTAAGGATTTATTTACAATATGTGAGGCCCAATTCTAATTCAACTTCCCCGAGAAACCACTAACTTGTGGGTTTTTAAGATTTTAGCAGATAGAGAGAAGGGGGGAAAAAAAAGAAGAAGTTTGTAGACGTGGTTTCGGTTTCCACAGATAGTTATTTAGGAATTTATGCCTTTGTATTAAAAAAAAACACATTTAAGGCCAGTGGAACGGCCTAAGCAGGATTTTTAATTGTTCGCTTGAGATGGCTGCAAGAGGAAGATAGCTGCGACAATTTATTCTTGACCGCTATTAAGTTTACATCTCTATCCTGATACCTTAACTAAACATTCAGCAATCCAAGCTACTTGTAAAGATTCCAGAGCTCTAGATAATAGCATGCCTTATTTCGGGATATATATGCCAGCGACCCCTTGGCCTGCGTTCTGTTTCTTCAGCTGAAATCAATCAAACAGCACGATATATTAGAGAATCAATCTGAATTGGTTCCTAAATTTACCTTTTTTTCATACACAGATCTGTCACCAACCGCTTTCATGATCTGAAATTCTCTCCACATAAGTAATCGTAAAGCACTAAAAGCTCACAAATTCCACATTCATCACAGGCTTTTAGGATTGAGGCTAAATCACATCCACTTGTTCAACTTGGCAGCCGCATAAAAGTTTACCGTGTGCCGTTGTCATGCAAGTCGCAGCCTCGATAAACCGCGCCTGCCATTTGCCACCAATTTGAAACCTTAGGATTGAGTCTATGTTCTAGGAATTCTGACTCTCTATTACTACTTGTTTTTGTTGGTATCTTTAAAAGACAACTTCTTGTTCCAATTCTTTTGATTTTCTAATGTAATGACCAAATATGATCTGCCATAATCGTGAAATATATCAGCAAATATGTATATGACGAGAATATATATTCCATTCAAGTTAATTTGTGATGATGTTTTATTCTACATGAGAAGAATAATTTTGGTGTGTCGATAAAAATTTGCTATGGCATTAAAATATGAGTTCTCACAATAAGACCAGTATTTTTTAATCTAATTAGTTTACATTTTTTAGTGTAGGTAGGAGGATTTGAACCCGAAAACTCTCACTTACATTCCCTTGCTCCTGAACCACCTAATGCATTCTTAATCTAACTAGTTGTTGAAACTCATCTCTATGACCAATTAAAGTGTGATAAAGTACACTATAACGTATGTTTACATATGTGCGTCCGTTATTTTTGGATCAAGGTGTAACCAACTATTCAATTATTAGTAAATTAGCGATAATTAGCAAATAGATGGTTAACTAGAAATTCCAACGAAAGTAAATTAACAAAGCAAATTTTTTTACTCAGCATTTTTGAAACTGAACAAGCAAATATGATTTGGGTTAGACTTCAAAGATTTCTCTATTTTAAAGTTCTCCAGTGTCTATTATACGATTATTTGTACATTAAAAAGCACATTCAATGGACATCAAATAAACGAATCTGTCACAATAATTGCCTGAAAGTGCAAAATAATTGTTTGAGATCTCTAAGTCATTGCCGACTACCAGATTCGAAGATTTTAGTGAACCACTTTTGCGTGTGTGTGTGTGTGTTTTTTTTTTTTGGGTAAGGGAAATCCAAGGAAAAAGAATAGAACAATGGCCAAAACGATTATTGTGTCTTATGGTTGTGACAACATGACATAGAAGACTTGAATAATACTTCGGTTTATCCTAAATCAATTATCTTCGGTCACTATTCAAGCTGCAACAGAACTGCGCCTCGTTTCCCTGATCTTATAGATGCCATTGCTTGGACAAATTGTTGAACTCAGTACTGGTTGGCAATGGGGATGTCTCGGTTACTATCAACTAAACCTTCACTTCACATGTAGATGTCGTAGTTCAAAAATTGGTTAAAATGAGCCCCTTTTTTTTTTTTTTTGGTCCATACCTTACTACTCGCTCTCCACGCTTTTATAAAACGTTGAACAAGGAACAGAAGAAGGGCTCTTTTGCTCTGTAAGTTTTTCAAGACATTGGTGCTCTTTCCGTCCCATTTTATATATCTTGGTCGCTGTTTTAATTTATCCCAAAATATTTGTCACGACGTAAAAATTGAAATGAATAACGCCCAACTTTCCTATTGTACCAATTATACAATTTCCAAGAAAACACGTTCAAGTCATGTTCTCCTAATAAATAATAATGTTACAAATCATTTTTGTATCTTGATAGTTGCGCTTTTTTCAAACATTCAAACTCACCTAGCAAAATATTTAATGTCAATTGAGGGGCGATAATGGAAAAAGCTTCTTTAATGGAGTAGCTGATATATTTTGGTCAAATTTTATTTTTCTTAAACTGTGTGCAAAGTTAAGTTAACCGGGACAGAGGGTAACTTTTAAGTTTTCTGTTTCTAAAGTGGAAACTGCAATAAATGTTCATTTTAATTTAACAAAACTGCTTGCAATAAACAAGTACGCAAATCTGCAGTTTTCAGATATAATGCTTTACACGTCCTTGAAATCAGCACGAGCAGTATTTTTCTATTGCGAGATGAACATGCAAAAGGGAAAAGACGAGAGAGCAGTAAGTTCATCACTGAAAGACATCATGATTAGTTCGAAGATGCCCTCGCTTCAAATATCAGGCAGAACGATAGCACAAGTAAATAAACTTTTGCAAATAATCCACTATCCTAACAATAGATTGAACCCAATTAAAAGGGATTGCTCTGATTGTATAAGGCTCCCCAAGATTTGTTTTGCTTTTCCATTTCCACTTTGAATATTCATTATTAATTTTTTCGCCTGATTTTGAATGAATTTACAGAAAAAACTAAGTGATGAACATGTCTTCCTTTATTTTTATTTTTTTTTTGAAAAAATTCAAAATACTACTAGGTTCAAGAACCACTCAGATATATTTTGGGGGGTAAATACTAGTTCAGTAGTTAACCTTTTATGCTTTTTTTTTTCGGATAATCACCGCATTATGTTGATTTAAGAGACAGGGCTATCTAGCTAGCTAAGGCTAACAACCTAGACCAATCTCAGCTCGGACAACAGTTTGTCGTGCTTCGGAATAAAATGGTCAATCCTCATATTCGGGGCGGCATGCCAAAAGCTGGACATCTGTTTTCTTGGAGATTAGAACAGCTTTCCTTAATACCATGATAGCAAAAACAATTAGCACTTTGACTACCTGAAAAGATCAAAACATACAGCAACCAGATGTATTAGTGATTTACTCATACTAGATGGTCACTTAATTCTTAACACATGGCTCATTTGCTTTAATCAAAAGAAAGAAAAAACATAACAAGGATTCTCTCCAAGGAGCATAATATATCCTCACAGGATTTTGTTTGGTTGGCAAGAATCACCGGACGAGATCAATTGTTGAATGATGTTGACCTTTTAATAAGGAATGAAAAGCATCTCTAAGGATTTTCTTAACAAAGATTTTGTTTTTTAACATATCAGGAATTGAAGAGAAAGTGAAGTGAAAAAGAAAGAGGGATTTATCCAACGTGTGTCGAATTTTCAAAATGTAGTGCTAATTTTTTCGAACTTAAGAACCTGAGAACAGGTGAGATGCAAACAGATAAGGCTACAATCTTTCAGTCAATAAAACCCATGTCATCATGTTTAGAGTAGATTAATCTGAGTTTGGACTGGAATTCGAGCCTTAACGAGGGAGTGAATTGAAAGAATAATGATTTTAAACATGATTTGATGTCTTAGGACCTATGTGTCATAATTTTATATTTCCTCTCTTCTCTATGTTTACATGATTTTGCTCCCACTTCCCTGTTCCTTAATTTCTTACCACTTCCATAAGTAATAGTAAGTCACATAGAGGCATGTCTTATTATTTCATGGCGTTTTCTAGCAGTACTACTATGATTGTAAGTGCAGTTGAATGTTAGTAGCATTATCTTTGGATTCAAATTCAACTTCAAAGTTTGACTCAAACAGAACCCTAATCCTTTACTTCTGGGACAGTCTAATGGTTTAGGTTTCACAAACCAATTGATGGTGCTGAAAAAGCTTAACGAGAGCGCGCGCAGCCACGCACTGTGTATCTGTGCATGCATGTGATTTCTGCCTCCAATGCAGGCATTCTGAAATAATCAAATACAGACTGGATTCGATGCCGAAGAACGCCAACTTGACCCAATGCAAATCATGGAAAGATCAATAATTCCCTTCATTTGGCAACACACAAGTGCTTCTTATCTTGGAGTTGGAATGATATTATCTGCTCATCAAAGTATTAGTATGTGATTATACACACTCTAGTCAAAAAAAAAAAGAAGAAAAAGAACTTTATGTTTATACAAATGGGCATGCATAGACACAAAATACGTAAATCTCATATTTTAATTATTTTGCGAGTCAAGAAATAATACAATAATTAATTTGAGAAGAGGGTTTCCTCCTGGAGCCATTTTCCTGAAATATTACGTATCGTGCATGGAGTAAAAGTGCTCATCCTTCACTTTTCAGCCAAGTGATGAACAGGAGAATAAGTGGGAAAGATGAGTTGTCAAGTTTCTCCAAGAATTTAGGTGCAAAATTGATAAATAAAATGTGGACTGGAAATCATACGTTGATCATATATAATTGAAGATTGCCTCGTCATCATAATCTTATACATGTACATGAAGCAAACAATGTGGCCTATTGACCAGGATCATTGTCGCAGTTTGTACAATAATGCAGTCCCCGTGCACACAAGGCACAGACAGAAGGAACAACTTTGTCCTCAATTTTCTCCAGTTTCTCTTCCCTCAATGCATTTTGAGCCCTTTGTATTACTGTAATTGAATATCATGGGCTCGTTTTGCAGTTTGCATCAACCATGACATGGATTTAATGAGAAGGGCTTCGAATCATGCGCTCACGTTTCAAGGGCAAGTCAATATTCACTCCTGGATGCATGTAGATGAATAAACAGTAAACTACTAGCCTAGCTACTTGCTAACAGTTACTTGTAAATCAAGACTTGAATTTGGTTAGTAAAGAAAGGAAAAGTTGAGAGCTCTCTCCAACTCACGAGTCACGATGGTTGCAAATGTAGCCCTTATTTGGCAAGCAAGTTTTTGGCTAAATTTGTCTGTTATAAGTTTTTTAACAACTTTACCTACAGTAATCTCAAAAAAAACTTTTCAAAGTTTTTAAACTATACATTTCAAAATATCCAAAAATTTACACACTTCAAAAATTTTTTCTACAACTTCTACAGTAAGTTACGGTAAAATTTTAGACA